TGAAACGGCTTTTTCGTTTCAGATTCTTGGCCCGTTGAGGAGCATCCGGTTTAACAACAGTGCTGGAGAAGAGGTCTGTTTAGCCGAAAGTGGCAAGAGATACAATATCCTGAACTGGGTCTCCTTGACAAATGGATCTTTTTATCCTGTGGAAGTTGGAGAAGTGAATTCAGGGGCTCCCTCTGGCCAGGACCTTGCAATTCGCCCAAGTGAAATCACGTGGGCGACCGAGGTGTGGTAAAAGTGGATGGTTTTGCGGTCATGGGGGGACTAAAGCATTTTGCATTTCTTTCCATTGCCAAAAAGGAGAGGGCTTTCTAGATGAAACCAAAGGCCTGGTTTCTACTGGTTTGTGTGTTGGGGGTCATTAACCAATTCAGGAGCACCATCCTCCTATGCTGGAGTCCTGGAAGTTATTCGTGACATTCCAGGAAGGGTTGGAGAGAGGCCAGGACCGAAATGCTGGAAGCCGCTGGAGTGTGGCTTGCGGCAAGTCCAGGCCATGCACTGCAAAGTGGGCCAAGGGAGGTGCGAATCACCTAACCCAGCTCCTATTAAAAATGCCCAAATGCCACCTTGAAGCTTGTCGTGTCTCACGTCCATATCAGATGGCAAATTCTACTTTTCTTTTTGTGTGGAAGATTGTGCATGTTTTCATGCATTTTCATGCAAGATTGTGAGTGTGTTCATGAAAGTGTTCCCCCTAAATGTACATCTGAAGTATTAAAGTATTGTCTTTAAAATGTTAGACAGCTCTCCCTGTGATTCAGGTGTGTTTGTGCACATTCTTGTAAAGCACAGATGCTATGAAATCTATAATGTTGGCCCCCAAGTTGCATTGCAAACCCTGAAAGGTGTGAATTGTGTTTGAGTCCATGCTCATTTCCAAAATGGTTAAATGGGAAGATGCTGTTTGGAAAATGGACAGGAAAGAATTCTCATTCATCCCGTGATGGACCAAGTGTCTGACTTGGAATGGAAATAGATTCTGAAGATTCTTTTTCTGCCTCAAACTCTCTATATTTTAGGGGCCTTTATTTAATGGTCCCATTTGGAACATGGGGATAGTGGGAAGGAGACACCCAAGTGAGATGGAATTGTGTGTCCAGTTTGCTTTCTCTCTGCAATGAGTGGTGTGGAGCTCCAAGCCCTCCCTCCCTCCCTCCCTCCGGTTGGTGGGGTGGACTTCCTGATGTCACAGAAGTGGGATGGGGTTGTTGCAGAATCTTCCCTCTTCATGTCATCGGGATACACCAATTTCGAGCACGATGCTTTACAATTCCTCTATGAGCCTCTTAGAACCATTGTAGGAGTAACCTGTGGGTGGCAGTTCCTCCTCCTAGACTGGAAAGCCCTCCCCTCGAGTAATGCCGAGGCCCATCTGTCGTGTTCCTCCACTCAGTCTGGTCCTGTTTTTCTTCTCATTCTCAGAGGATGCCTTTTGCAAGGTGTGTGGAGAGATGTTCCCCAGGACACCAGAGGAAAGTCCCGGAGGGGAAGGCAGTTTGCTGCTACCAGTGTAACCTTTGTCCAGAAGGGACCATTTCTACCTGGACAGGTACCTCAGAGTGTGAGAGCCACATACAGGTGCAGAGCCTACTAGGATCAGAGGAAACTAGTGATGAGCTTACGGTCACAGACACAGAGAAGACCCTGCCTTTTTCCCATGAAAAAGGCATTTTTGTCAAAGCCATTTTGGATTGCATGCCTCCATGGTCTACCATATTGCAAACTATTCACCATTCCTTGATTTTGGGAAGGTGGTCAGTCCTTCTATGGAGTGGAGCACATGACACCAATGTCAAACAAATTGCCCATTTTTTCTGTATTGCTTTCTGCATCCTATTTCCCAGCCCCAGCAAAAACACTTCTCACATGACAGTCTGTAGTATTTAGAAGATGAGAGATAGGAATCGCTTTCCTCATTTGTTCAGTAAGAGGGCGCTGTTGATATTCATTGTAAACTGCTCCTTAGAGTCACTCAAGTATAATTTCTAGGTACAGAGTTTGGGGTTTCCTTCCTGTGCAATATCAGATGTAAATGTGGTACAGGGAGGCTGCCAGGTGACAAAGAAGAACAAGAGGAGGAGGAAGAATTATTTTATACTTTTTCTGACAATGGTCTTATTAAGTACATCTGCAAAAATAAAATACAGAACAATCAACAAGATATCGTATGCTTGAGTGTAGAAAAAGAGCTATTTCTATTTCTTTCTTTTGGGACTGAACTGGCCCACGCAGAGATCACATCCTTGTGTTGGAAATGGCTCGTGGCTGTTCCTCATTTCAGATGCAGTTCGCTGTCACCCGTGTGCAGAGCATCTGCACCCGAACAAGAACCAAAGCCAGTGCATCCCCAAGAAGATCCACTTCCTTTCATATCAGGATACGCTGGGGATCGTTTTATCTTCTCTGGCTCTGTCGCTCTCTCTGCTCACATCTGCAGTGCTGGCGATCTTCATTCAACACCGTGACACACCCATCGTCAAGGCCAACAACCGAGACCTCACCTACGTCCTCCTTGCCTCCCTCCTGCTCTGCTTCCTCTGCTCCTTCCTCTTCATCGGCCGTCCCACAAAGTTCACCTGCCTTCTGAGGCAAACAGCTTTCGGCATCGTCTTCTCTGTTGCGGTTTCATCCATTCTGGCAAAAACCGTCATGGTGGTCCTGGCCTTCATGGCCACCAAGCCAGGAAACGTGGCAAGAAAGTTCCTAGGGAGACGCCTGACCAACTGCATAGTCTTGGCTTGTCCCCTCGTCCAAGTTGCCATCTGTGCTTTGTGGCTGATGACCTCTCCCCCAGCCCCGAACAGGGACTTCCACTCCCTGGCAGGAGAGATCATCGTGGGATGCAACGAAGGCTCGGTTGCCATGTTCTACGCAGTCCTGGCATACATGGGCTTCCTGGCTCTGGTCAGCTTCACGGTGGCTTTCCTGGCCAGGAAGCTGCCCGACAGCTTCAACGAAGCCAAGTTCATCACCTTCAGCATGCTGGTCTTCTGCAGCGTGTGGGTCTCCTTTGTGCCCACCTACCTGAGCACCAAGGGGAAGGCCATGGTGGCCGTGGAGGTCTTCTCCATCTTGGCCTCTGGGGCTGGTCTCCTGGGCTGCATCTTTCTCCCCAAATGCTACATCATTGTCTTGAGGCCCAATCTCAACACCAGAGATCATGTGGTGAGGAAAGCGAATCAGGGAGCATAATGCTTCTGCTTACTCAGTTAGAAATCTCATATTCATTCCCGATTTCCTATCAAAATTCTCTCTGGAGGCTAGATGATGCTCCCTGGGCAAAGATGGGAATGGCCTCCCTTGGCCTTCCTCCGTCTCCTTAGCCTTGAGAGGTTTGCAGGCGTCAACCAGCTCCAGCCCTATCTAAGAGACACCTGCATTCCTTCTTAGTCCAGAAATGTGCTCTCTTGGCTCTGCAGAGATCTTAGCACTGTAGACCACTCTCCCCCTCTCCCCCAAGTCAATGCAGCTTCTGCAATGCAAGATGCAGTCACAGCTTCCCTCGTTGGGACTCACCGGCCGCTACTGAAGCACCTGCAGCAATGTGGAACCTGACGCCTCTGGAAGCAAACCATTGCTCTACTGAACCAAGTCCAGCTGACCAGACGGTCAGTCTGCCCCTGACCTTTGCCCAGCCTGGAAGTAACTTCTGGCTTGGCCAGAATCCAGGGCCCTCCACTGCAACTGCACACGAACCTGGGGGTCCTAGAATGGTGGAGTCGAAGGGGGCCAAGAAGGCCATCAGGTGCAACCCCCTGCTCAGTGCAGGACCCCAAGTTATACCCTCCCCCCAGATGGCCTGGGGGCTTTGATACACCCAGATGCTTGTAGGCCAGCTCAGCGATGCTCTCCACGGCTGCAGCACCTCATGCTGCGAAGAAGCCCGGGAATGCGGTGGGAAGGGACCCGGGTGGCAGCCGTGAGCCCCGGCCCTTGCCTCCTCGTATTCCCCACTACCAGCCTGCCTCTTCTCCTCCTGCTGGTGCCCCACTGCCTCCTCAAAGGCACAGCTGGGGACACTCTTTGGGTGCTGGCTGTGAAGGGGCGAGGCGAGCCCGCCTTTCGGGAGCCAGCTTGAGCTCATGAGACCCAGTGCTGGGACTCCAAATTCTCCCGACAGCCCCAGGCACTGTCCAAAGGCCACAGAATTGCACCCAAGGGGAAAGCTTTCCACCCATCGATTTAAAGCGTGTTGCTGAAGGAGCCAATTGGGCTTTTGCTGCACTTCTTAATTGATGCTTTAGAAACTCTTGGAGCAAATCAAGGGCCATTTTCCAAGCGCCTTCCCCTTGGCCAGTCTCAACTCGCGCCCCCATGTCCTGTGAGTGAAGCTCAGGACCTAACGGGCCATTTCTTTTGTGCTGCACATCATTTCTGCTGTATAACGTACTGTATATTCTTGGCATGTGCCTGGAGAGCTGGGCACTTCTCCCTGCAACAATGAGGTCCTTGTGGAAGACGCCTTCTGCAGCTGACCCCAGCCCCAGCCAGCTTTGGGTTGGTGCCAGGAGCTGCACGGTTGGGACCCGGATGGGGTTGGTTGCACGTGAGCAGGCCAAGCCTGGCCGGGCCCCTCTTAGGGGACACCCCGGAGTCGATCCTCCTCCTCCCCATAGCAGCCTGCCTGCCAGTTGCTTCCCACTCGGGCCCCAGCACCATGAGTGCTTCCCTGAGTGCATTTACTCCTGAGTAAGCTCCTCCAGGGGGTCGACATGGAGCACTGCCTTCCAGTGGGGCAAGAAAATGGCATTGGGAGATATACCTTTGCAGGAATATGACTGGGATGTTGCGGTGGGGGGAGGGGAGTGTACAAAACTGGGAAACCATGAAATGTGGGGAAAGGGGTGGGGAGATGGGGATGGCTGCCAGGAGAGATCTGGAAGGCTGGATCTGCCCCCCCCCCCGAGTGCTCTCCGCCCCACACTCTGCCTTAGAACAAAAGAAAAGGGGAAATGTGGTTGTCAGCCCTGAAAAAAGACTCGCAGCTCAGGTGCAGTTTTGCATTTTGTATGTATAAAAATTGTAGCTCTGTCATGCTTACTGAATTGGCTGGAATCACAATGCAAATTTGAGGTGGGGAGCAGTTCCAGTCTCCCGTGTCACTTCAAGGGTTTGTGCCCTTCCCCCATTTCCTTTGATCCCCCCTCCCCCCATAATTTGCTGGCTTCCAAGGTTTTGCATACTGACTCCTGGCATCAATGGAATTTCCCTCCATCCCTTTGGCATCAAGTGCTGAAATGGGTAGTTTCGGGTTTAGGGAACGGATTAATTCCCTTTCCGTTATTTCTAATGGGGACCATTGCTTCGGACTTTGAACGATTCAGAGTTCAAACAGCCTCCTGAAATGAGTTGAGTTCGAAGAATGAGGCACCACTGTACTTTTAAGGGAACAGCCTCATGGCCGCCCAGAACTGCTTGTCAACAATCCCCAGGAGCTCTTGGCTGCCCCCATGGTTATCACATCACAACCAAGTCGAGAGCAAAAGAATTCCTCTGGATCTGAGGCAAGACAGCCAGGGCACCAGCAAAACTCATTTATATAAGTTGCTCATATGCTCATTTATGAGCTGACACATTCAGCCTGCCCTCCTCTACTGTCACCTTCCCTGCTCTGAGAGGCTGTGTCAAAATAGTTGCACTCCAACCTTCACACCTCCTACAAGGGCCCATTTCTGCCTGGTGGAGAATGGCGCCCCCCCCCCCCCCCGTTCCCTCATGGGCAGCTGCTGTCCTCTCTGCAGGTCTCCCTGTCTTAACCACCGGAGAATTTTACGATCTCCCAGCAATCCAGCAATGCTGTGGGCTCCCTTGGCCAAGGCCTCTTGTCCCCACGGCCAGTCTCTGCATGCTAATCGCAGCTCCTCTGTCCACATCATCCAGAAGGCCCATCAACCTGCCTGTCTGTACGTGGGCATCTGCCGTGTGAGAGCAGCCAGTCACAGCCCTGGACCTCCCGGCCACGGTTCTGCAAGTCACTGGCCGCCCGTCCTGAAGCTCAAGCTGCAGGGCGATGGGCTATTGTCAAAGGGTGGACAAAGCGATACACAGAAGTCTCTTCACAGAAAGAGCAGGGATGAGCGAACCGGTGGGAACAGGAAGTTTCCAAAATTCCTAAATAATGTGGGCATACCTGCATCCATAGAGGTTTACAAAGACAAACAAGAAAAATCGTAAACACATTATGCCCTCGTTTTGAAACGAACAAGCAAAAAGTAGCACCAGATCCATTTCGACCTCAGAAGTCCTCTTTAGCTACCTGGTGCAGAAAGTGCCTACACGTACACACGGGCCGTCTGAGAAAATCCAAACCTCTCCCATACAGCCGTTAAAGGCATTAAGCAGAGCAGCAGAAGCAGGGGCGGACTGCCAACGAGAAAGCAAAAGCAAAGCTCACACAAGGCCCCGCACTTGAACATTTCAGAAAAGCTCCACGGCATTTGGAAAACGTGTCTCAGCTGAAAGCCGCAGCGCAAGCAAACCATCTAAAGATTTTATGCTGGTCTCCCTGAATCCCAGGCTATGTCTGCGTGGGGAGAGGAGGGGAAGGCTGGAAAAGATCCAGAATTCCCAGTAAGCTCCAGCAGGAGGGTGTCGAAACAGCCTTCCGCCTGGGATGGGGTGAGGGGCGCCCAGCGGCTGGGAGCCGAGCCTCCTGCTGCACCGCCGGCTTCCCCAGGAGTTAGGAGGAAGAAGCGGCTGCGTGCAAGGGCCAGGCTGGGCGCTGAGCACAGCTCCCGAGCCCCCACTGGCAAGGCCTTCTGGCCGCTCATCCCAATCACTGGGAGCCCCAAAGCCTGCTGGGGACGGCAGCTGTTCCCAGGCCGGGAAGGGCTCTCTCAGGCTGCCGAGGACCCTGTCCCAGCCCCAGGAAGGAGGGAGCAAACGGGGAAAGGGAGGGCCTGGCAGCCCACCCTGCCCACTGACCCTGCAGGGCACCTGGGCACGCGCCAACCCCTCGTGCTCCTCTGTGGCACGTCCGTGGCTGGGAAAGGTGCATCCCTCAGCCATATGCCTGGGGTGAGGGGACTGCACCCCTTGTGCCGGAGGAGCAGGGAGAGGATGGGGAGGCCGAGGGCCCTGCGTGCCAGGATGCGACCAGGCCAGGCAGGGCATGTGGCAGTTCCCCCCTGAATGCACCCCGGCCTCCTGCTGCAGCATCAGGAATGCCTGCCCCCCAAGCCCCTCTCCCTCCTGTCCTGAGGTGCTCCATGCAGCGCAGGGGTGGGAAGAAGGGGGGCTTCCTCAAGCGTGAGGAAGGGGCACCTTGTTCTCCTTGTCCAGCCCTCTGCCTCCACCCTCACCCACAAGGACAGCCCCCTCTGCCACTCACCTTTGGTGGGGCTGCTAGATGGCCAGGTTGCTCCCTGCGGTGGAGAGAAGGAACGAACATCGAGTCAGCCCCTCCCCGACTGAACAGTGCAAAGGGGGCTGGCAATTTGGAGCGGTGGGGCAGTTTCCTTTTTCCAGGGGACGGGCCTCCAAGCCTTTGCGAAAGGGGAGAGGTTCTGGTTTCCCTTTACTCTGCACTAGTCAGACCTCACCCGGAATCCTGTGTCCAGTTCTGGGCAAACAATTTTTAAAAGATGCAGAAAACCTAGAAAGGGTCCAGAGGAGGGCAGCCAAGATGATGGAGGGCCTGGAAACTGAGCCCTGTGAGGAGAAGCTGAGAGCGCTGGGCGTGTTCAGCCTTGAGAAGAGAAGGCTGAACGAGGACGTGATCTCCCTCTAGAAGCACCTCAGAGGCTCCCACAAAGAGGAAGGAAAAGGCTTCTCAGGCATCCCTGAGTGCAGGAGACGGAATAATCAATTCAAGTCGCGACAACCCAGATTCAGGCTGGGCATCAGGAAAAGCTTCCTCACTGCCAGAGCAACACGGCAGTGGGACCAGCTGCCTGGAGGGGTGGGGGGCCCTCCCACACTGGAGACCTTCAAGGGGAAGCTGGACAGCCCTCTGAGTGGGATGGTGTGACTGGGTGGGGGGTTAGTCCCAATGGCCTCTGTGGGCCCTTCCAGCCCTGCTATTCTATGATGCATGAAACCTCCAGGAGGAGGCCAAGCTGGGCCACCGGAAACGTCCCTTCCCGCCATCAGTGGCTTCATGAGCTCCGTCGGGGTTTCTGCTCTGAGCCAGGCCTTCTGCAGCCGACACAGGTGGCCGGACCAGCTGCACCTGCACGGGAAGGGAGGACGCCGCGTGGAGGGGAACCGTGGCTGTGCAGTGGGGCAGAATGGGCCTGGGAGACGTGGCGGAGGCCTCTGCCTCTCTCTCAGGGCAGCCTCAGGGAGGGCACAGCCCCCCCGTCCTCCGGGCTGGGATTCTCTCACTCACCGTGCTCTGAGCTGTCGGAATTCCGGTCACTTGCTGGAAAGGAGAGAAAGGAAAAGGAGTCAGGCTGGGAAGGGATGGGGTAGCTTGGCTTTCTCATCCTCCTGCTCTGACACACACCTTGATGGCGTCAGCCACGGAAACACCGCAAAAAAGCAGGTGGGGGGAGCAGAGTGCGAGCTTAGAGCTGTCCCCAGAACAAACTGATTCCTAGATGAGCCTGGAAGGATGAGGGCACCCTCTGCTGATCCCCATTTCCCACAGCAGCTGGCCCTGCGTTGGAGCAAACATGCCAGAACATACTCACTTGATGCCGCCTGGTAGCCACCTTGACATTTCTCTGCAGAGACAGAATCAGAGAGTCAGAACTGGAAGGGACCTCCAGAGATCATCTGGTCTCACCCTCTAAAAATGAGGAAGGGCTCTGGCAGATCACTTCCTAGCAGCTGCCAAGGAAGGTGGGCTCACGAGTTCTCCAAAAAATCATCATTAACATGAAGGCTCGCCACATATAAACACAGGATTTGGGCTAAAGTAACCGCAACGCCTCCATTCCTTCCTTCTGGAATGAACCTGGAGGTGCCTCAGGGCGACATGCGAGCAGGGAGCAGAGGTGCGTCTTAACCAATATTTCAAGGATTCTGTGCAGCTTTTCAAACCACTTTGAAAGGAGGAGAACTAGGAAACTTCTCGACCCCTAAGATGTGGAGCCAGAACTCCCCAAATATCAGATTGACCGAGTTCAGTTGATGATGCGTGGTCCTAAAACCGACCATGGGCTGTGCAAAGGCTGTTTAACCCTCCCAAAACCCAGACTTGTGGGGTTTGCTCAACATGGCAGCTGCCAAGTGGGGACCCCATATTCAAAATGGCAGCCCCACAAGCGCCACTGTTGATTGGATAACCCAGAATGGGTGGCCCTGCTCTGCAAACAGAATGCTTCAGATGCTCATGGTGAGGGGTGAGAGAAAGGGGGATGGAAGGAAAGAAACTGAGCCATGCCCCAAATTCATGGCCTAATCTGAACCTCCCCGAGCCACAAAAAGCAGCAGACTGAGGAAAGTTTACTTACTGTAAAAATAGACGCTAAGAATCACCGCCGCCAGCAGGATGAGGCCCCCTGCGACGCACCCGATAATGACCCCCAAGTTGGATGCTAAAACTGAATTGAGAAAAAGAGCGAGGCAACTGAATGGGAGCCCAACCAATCTTGACCTTTCCTGCAGGAATGGCTAAAGGACTGAGGAGGGGGAAGGCAGTGAAGTTGGTGGAAGGGGAGATTCCACCTGCTATCCTCCCATCTGAGGGGCTGCAAAAGCCCTTCCAGGGCTGTGATGGGAACTGAGGTCCCTTCCCAGGTCCCTTCTCAATCATCCCAGAGTGCAGGACGCAGACTCATGGGCTCAAGTCACAGAAGCCAGATTCTGGCCCAACACCAGGAAGAACTTCCTGATGGTTGGGGCAACGCAGCGACAGAACCCACGACCTCGGGAAGTGGTGGGCAACCCACACCGGAGGCACCCCAGAGGTCCTGTCGGGGATGCTGTAGCTTGGAGTCCTGCATCATGAGGTGGGTTGGACTCCACTGCCTCGCAGGTCCCTTCTCGCTCTGCTATTCCATGACACCAAGGCTTGGTTCCTCCCATTTTGTGCCACGTTTGCCTTCACACAAACCTTGCCAAAACTTCCATTATTCCCCAAACAGGCAGGCAGAGAGAGCCTGTGCTTGTGGCATCCATTGGGGTGCATAAGATCCAAATGATTTGTTTTGCACCACAGAGAACCCGCCACGTTCGTGACAGTCGGGGAGGCTGCTGGGGACGGGGCGTTGCTCTGGTTTCACCCCCCGCCTCCTGTGGGAAAAGCCACGTCCTGCAACCCTGCAGTCCAACCAGGCTGCGCCCCGCCCCCGTCGCTCACCTTCGGGCTCCTTCCAGACAAAGCCCACCGGATCCTGCATGCTGTCGTGCCCCACACGGCACTGGTAGCGTCCCCGGTCCTTGGGGTCGATCTTGATGCTGAGCCAGGTGAAGTAGGTCCTGTCTGAGTTGGGGGCCACGAGGCCACGGAAGGTGTCCTGGGCCCAGACCTCCCCGTCCCTCGTCCACATGATCTCAATCTCCTTGGGGTAGAAGCCGTGGGCCCGGCAGAGGAGGGTCTCCGTGCCATCCGGGTCCTCCTTGCGTGCCACATTGATCACAGGCGGCTCTGAAAAGAGGGAAAACGGCCGCTTCAGAGTCCATGGAGTCTCTCCAGAGCCTAGCAGGATGTCGGGGCCTCACTGCTGGAGCAGCAAAATACCTCTGGGGGCTTCCTTGCCCAAACGTCAGAATGAGCCCCCTGTCAGAAGGCGGGGGGGCTGCTTGGGGAACAGCCTGTTGTGCTGGTCCCCAAATCTCCAGGAGTCCACCTGCCCCCCCGCCACCCTGCTGTCCATGGAGGGCTAGTGCCCGGCTCATCTAGGCATGGCCCCTGAATCCTTGAGCCAGAGCCCCTGAGCCTGTTTCTTTCCTCTCAGCTCCAGACGAGAGGAAGAGTCATACGACAGTCCCACCCCGAAAGCGGAGCTGGTTACCACTCCTTCCATCACTGGATCATTTATTAAGCCCAGAGCCCAAAATTGCCAGGCATCACCAGCCACAAATTACACTTTCAGTGTTTGGAAAGGTATTTTGGAAGATGCTACTTTTTGTGCACCAGGAGAAAGGTGGCACTTGTGTGTGTGTGTGTGTGTGTTTGAATAAGTTGTATTCTTAATATACCTAACAAAAAGAAACTAAGAAGCATCAATCATCAAAAACATCAGACCTACTGAGTCAGCCCCTCACATTTTCTCTTTTTATGTTAAACTATAAACATGTCTAAGTCTATGCATATTCTCATTTCTCTAACCAGTAATAAAAAGAATCCCAGGTTTGATAGAAGTCTGTATCTTCTTTCTCCCTCAGAGACAAAGTCAGTCTATCCATTTCCACACAGTCCAAGATCTTTTTTAGAATCAGTTCATCAGAAGGTGGCTCTTCACTCTTCCAGTGTGGGGCTGAGAAAGGTGGCACTTGCTGAAATACCAGCGCCCAGATGACCTGTTCCATCTCACCCCTCCGGTCCAGCCGGCTCTTTGCCCACGTATGCTCCTGCCTCCTGCTCCTGCCCCATCTTTCTGGCTAAACCTGCTTCCAAAATCAAATTTCCTCCTCCCCCTTTGCCACACAGCCGCTTTTACAAATAGGGGTCCCCCTAAGAAACAGGGGCTTCCATGCACATGGATTTTAACACCAGGTACAGCTGCCTCACAGCTGACTGGCAAAATCTTGAAGAGACAATGCATTGCCCACCCATCCATTATTTATTTAAAACTTTTCTATACCGTCCCATATTTAGCCGTCTCGGGATGGCTTAAAGCATTAATCTTAGAAACACAGTGGTACCCTGGCTCACGAAGTTAATCCGTGCCAGGACTCTGGTCATGACCCAAATTGGTCATGAACCAAGTCAAATTTCCCCATAAGATTCCATGCAAATAAGGTTCATCCGTTCTGTAACCATTTCTTTTTAATCACAAACATTTGAAGCAAAGTGACAAAGAACAACAAAGATTGCGGCCATCTCCCCCCCACCCCCCGACACAGCCACAATCGCAGGCGCAGGTGAGTGTGATTGTGGGCACGCTCAGGGGCGGGGGAGACGGGCTCAATCGCAATCGTCCCCTGATGGGGAGTTCATGACCCGAGGCAACATTTTTCAGGAATTTCTGTTTGCGACCCGATTTGGTCGTAAACGGAAGTGTTTGTGAGCTGAGGTACCACTGCAGAAACAAGGACAACAGTCGCCCAGCATCCAATGTTAAGACATAAACCCACTAACTAAAACAAGTTAACAACTAAAATGCTGGGAGGATAAAAACAGTTTCACCTGATGCGGAAAGGCAAGAAGCGTTGGCGCCAGGCGGGCATCTCTGGGCAGCGTGTCCCGCAATCGGGGGGCCACCGCAGAGAAGGCCCTGCGGTGCCATGCTTGCTATCACTGTACTGGCAGCGCCAGGGAAGGGAAGAAATGCCTGTAGGATTTCCTGCCTCATGCTCAAAACAACTTGGCTGACTCTGAATACAACTGCGCTCCGCAATGGGGGGGGGGGGATGTGTGAGGAAATCTGTTTTTTTTGGCGGGGGGGAATTTGCTGGATCTGCTGAGCGCAGCTCCCTGCATTCTAGCCTGCTTTCTCACTGCCATGAGTGCGACTTCCAGGCAGACATGCAGAGTGTTTGCACAGTGCTGGCCGGAAACTCAGCCCGGCCCCCCCACCGTGCCTGATCTTCTGGGGAAAAGAGGCGTTTCTCATGACCCTCCACCCTGACCGGCGTGACTTGCCGCCTCGGGGAGTTTGCCAGCTGCACCACCTTCAATCTGGGATCGTTCTCGGCTTGCTTTCTAAGACAGAAGACGGCAGAACAGAAAGTCCTCGAACTCAAGAGGGGTGAATTCTGCAAAGCGTCATCGAAACCCTAATGGGAAGGGAACTTTGGCTGCCCTTTAGGCGGCAAAACTGAGTTCTCCCGCTGCACTTTGCTGTCCTTCACAATCTTGTCTCTTGGTTCCTACAGTTACCCCATTTCATATTCTTAGGCAGTTTACAGACAATTCTGAGGATGAAGCCAATAGCTCCAGAAGAGAGAGATTCCCTTCTATTCCTCTGAGTTGCTTGAAATGGGACCTTGAGTTAGAAAACCAACAACTCTCTTCTCCAGTTCCGTTCCGCCAGAGGTGGAAACAAGATGCGGCTCATCAACAGACTCAGAGGGAATTTCAAGAGGACGCAAAACCAGAAGTCACATGATGGGGTCAGTGTGTGTGCTGTGTGCCACTAGATCCGTTCAGGGCAGGCTCCACGTACCCTGCACCTGCCCCGTTTCCCCCTCACCTTTCCTCTGCAGGGCCTCCTTCCCATACCCCACGTGCCTCCGCAGCGACTCGATGCAGAACCCCTCCAGGTAGGACTTCTGTCTCTGGGCGATGGCGGGCTCGGCCTCCAGCTTCCGCTTGGTGATCTGGGCTGCAGCATCGGCCGCCGTCCAGGTGAGGGTCTCCTTGTCGAAGCTGAGGTAGGTGCGCCCATCGTAGGCATATTCGTCGAACCCTCCGGTGCTCCCGTCCCCCCTCAGCTCACAGCCGTACAGCTCCTGCCAGGTGTGGAACCCTGGAAAAGAAGGACCAGCCATGGTGAGCCTGGAGAAGAGGAAGGCTCTACAAGGACCTGAAAGGCTCTCACAAGGAGGAGGGCCTGGGTCTCGTCTCGATCATCCCAGAGTTCAGGACACGGAATAACGGGCTTAAGACAGAGGAAGCCAGATATCAGGAAAAAAATCCCGGCTCTTAGGGCAGTACAACAGTGGGACCCATCACGCAGGGAGGGTGCAGCTCTCCTACGCTGGAGGCAGCCAGGATGCAGCTGGACGGCCCCCAGAGGGACGGTCAAACTCGGAGCCCTGCACTGAGCACAGTGCTGGACCCAAAGGCCCCTTCCAACTCCACCGATCTGTGGTTCTGTGGGTCCAGGAGGGGCAGGTGCTGCCCCCATCAGATCACAATGGAGGATCTGGCAAATATTCACCCCAGGGGAGAGGCAAACCTGGTCGCTGTGCAAGAACGTAGGAAAACCAAGCAACACAGAGACCCATTTCTCATCCTGTTGCCACAAAGCCCTAAAACACAACCAGCCTGCAAAACGGGAAAGAGAAGTGAGAGCTGCTCTCTAAGTGCTTGCAAGGAATGCCACCAGAGGAGACGGGATTCCAGCAGAGCTATTCCAAGCCGCGGAGACGTGATCAGGCCGAACCCTAACAAGAATATGCTGACAAATATGGAAAGCGGGATTCTTGATGGCAGAGCCTGAACCTTTCGTTTTCTTCTCCCCTCTTGGCTCGAGGGTCCCCCACGGCCCCTCCTTTTGCACCCCCACATACTCTGCCTCCCACAGCAGCAAGATGCTCTCGCCGCTCTGCCCACACCCTGCACCCAGCCTGCCTACGGCCACGTGCCGAGCACCACGGGTGAGGTTCTGGTTGCCTCGCGAGGCAGAAACCGGAGGCTGCAGAGAGAGCTGCAGAGGCAGCGGGGTGGCAGGGGGACCCCGCAAAGTGGAACGATTATTTATTTAAAACATTGGCATGACGCCCAATTGTGCCGCAGCACCTCTGCGGGGCTCACAACCACAAGATAAAAATACAATAAAAACATAATAAAAACACAACACATTAAAAACAACAGTAAAATACAGCAAAGCATACAAACCAAAGGTCTATGGCAATTTGTTATTAAAACGTTTTTTAAAAAGGAAGGTCTTTGCCTGGTGCCAAAAGGACAGTAAGGAAGGTGCCAGGTGGACCTCCTTGGGGAGAGCGTTCCAAATATGGGGAGCAGCTGCAGAAAAGACCCTGCTCCGCACGGCCGTCCCTCTCCCCTCCTTAAGGGATGGTCACACAGGAGGGCCCCTGCGTAGCTCTCAAAGGCCGGGCTGGCGCATACGGGTGCAGCACTCCCTAAGAGGCTCCATTAAAGCCCCAAGGTTCCTCTTACCAGCACCCAAACGGAGCAGCCTCTTCCTCCCCTGCTCTGCTTTTACAAGTCCTCCAGCCCCTCCCTGCCCTGGGAGGCACCTGCCAATCACAAGCACCCCTGCCCCACACAGTAGTGTCTCCTTGCCTGAATACCGACGCCTCCCTCCACGTGAGGTGTGGGGAAACGGCTATTGCACCCAGAGCCTGCTGGACCAGGGAGATGCAGGATCGCGCTCACGGTCGAGATAAGTGAACTGGTTTTCTGGTCGCTGGGTCCATCTCACAGGGACTTTGGCACGGGCGTGTGTGGATGTGCCCTCCAACTGGCCCGCGGGGTCGGTCTTGAAAGGGAGCGTGCGGCTGGGTGAGCCGCTGGCCCTGCTGGCCACCTCCCACTGGCAGCCCACCCCACACGGTCAGAGCAGAGGAGGTGGCGGGGGGAGAAAGCAGGCAACCATCCCCCATCCGTGGGAGCCAAGGGGGGAGGGAGTGTAGATGGGGTGGGTCTCAAGATGCAGGGGGCTCAGAGCTTTTGCAGGCGCCCCTCTCTGTGTGCCCCTGAGGCCTATTTCCCAGACCTGGGCAAGGAGAGGACATGGGAGAGAAGGGAAAGCGTTTCTGGGCCAGCGGTCCCGCTGCCAACTTGCCCGTGAGCTGGCCTACCTCCGTGTGGAGCCCCCAAGGCAGGCAGGTGCTGCAGAGTGGGCTGGATTGGTGCCTGCTGGGAGCTCCCTCTGCTCAGCACCCCCTATTCCCCCCCTCCCTGCCAGCACATCAGCAGCTCAGGGGCTCCACCCTTGTGATTTTCTGCCTCCGTCTTAGCAAAGGGCAGCCTGGAGTGGCACCTTTACGCAGCCCACTCCTCTGCACAGTGCTGAAGAGCAATTCTTCCAGATGTTCGGACACCTTTGTTTCTTTCGCTTTGCTGCTGTGATTTCAAAAGGTTTTTCATTCTAAGCCCAGTCCTCAGTTCGAAGAGAGACCGCAGCACTGTGTTGTTATGTTGTGAATCTGAGCTGCCCAGAGTTGCTGAGGCACAACTGGGCAGCCTACAAATGCTTTAAATAAATAAACTCCAGGAAGACTGAGACTGGGAAGGGGAACCATGAAGAGCGAGAAAAGAGCCTCAAGAGTGAGGAGGTTTCATGGAAGGCCGAGGCCCAGTTCATCCACACCGCTGTACCCCCCTCGCGATTTATGGGCGCAAATGCTGGTCGGTGAAGACGGAGAGATCTTTCGTCTGGGGGGGAAGAGGAGGCATTGCACGACCACAAAGAATCACAGGATCGCGGAGGCGGAAGGGGCCAGAAGGCCGCTGGGTCCAAGCCCCAGCTCAGTGCTGGCAACCTCTTCTGGCTGTAGGAACTGGGCGGAGAGACCCCTTTCCTTTCCTCCCAGCACCCAGCTCTCCTCTCGTCCTGCCCTTGAGGACGCCAAATGCAGGGTGGGGGACCTGGGCCCTTACCCCCACTCTGGTTGTAGTACTTGGGCACGTTCACCAGGCGGACCTTGAAGACCTGCTCGGCGTTCCACGAGATCTGCGTGTTCCGCTCCCAGTAGTTGGCGTCGTCCTTCTCCACCTTCTTGATCCAGGAGGATTTGGGCCGGTCCCTCCTGGAGTAGCTGTCGTAATGCAGGAAGGGCTGGTCATCCAGGTACCCTATGACCATGAACTGGGGCAGCCCCTGGCTGGGGTTCGACACCCCCGTGCGGAAAAAGCGCATGGAGTGTGAGGTGACGCCTGGAAAGGAAGAACAAGGGGGCAGACATGGGGTGGGGGTCATGAAGGGGGAATATGCCATGTGACATTGAACCTACCAATGAAGTTCACAAGAATAAGCGTCACATGCTGACTGGAAGGGTTTTCTCCACATTTAAGGCCTTGCTCTTTATGTCAAAAAGGGTGGACAGTTCGGCAGGCTCGGGCACCTGAAAGGCCAAGCCTCTACCACAGAAGGAATGCTGTGACTATACCAGGTTCCAAAACTAATTTAGTCCTAGGAACATGCCGGAAGCTCCCAGGAACGCCTGCTCAGGGCGATCCTGAAATGAGTAACAAAATTCGGGATGCCCCCATACAAGGACATTTCTTTATGTATTCTTATTTTGCTTTCATACCGCCCAACAGCTGAGGGCTCTCTGGGCAGGTAACAAAAGTTAATCGTTATACATATAAAAGACAAAAACTACATATAAATAATGAAACAATGAACAATAAAGAGAGCCCTAACAGAACTACAGGCAGAGTCTATAAAATTACAAAATAAAAGATTGATAAGATGCAGCAATAAAACAATAAAGCCGCAGTGACTGCAAGCCAATCCGGAATTGGTACAGATTAAACTGCAATAGTAAAACAGGTTAACAAGTAAAACTCTAGGAAAATTTAAAGGTTTTCACCTGGTGCCAAAAGGAACAGAGTAGGTGCAGGCACTCTCTTTGGAGAGCTTGTTCCACAGTCGAAGGGCCACCCCCAAGAAGGCCCTTCTCCTAGCGGCCACCCTCTTGACTTGCTTTAGAGGGGGCTCCCAGGGAAGGACCCCAGAAGATGGCCTTGGGGTCCGCGTAGGTGCACAATGGAGGAGGCGTCCCTTCAGATAGCCCGGCCCCAAGCTGTTCAGGACTTCAAGTGTCAAGCCAGCAGCCTGAATTTGGCCTGGGCGTCAGTGGTATAATAATGGGCAATTTCAGCTCTCCCCAAATTGACTGGATAAATTCCGGTACTGGGAAAGAGGTTAAAATCATTGGCACCTAAATTACTGTGCCCTAGAGCCAACCAGAGGGGGCAGCCCTGGATTTAATGCAAGGTGGGGCTGTCCAGGACCTATTATGGGATGTCCAAGTTGCTGAACCAACTGGAACCTACGACACAACCTGGTTTAATATACATTCAAGTAGAAGATGGGCAAAGACATTTGGCACAGTTGTGTTTATCTTAAGAAGAGGAACCTTCTCTATAATGAGCGAACTGGTAGAAAGGAAGTTGAAAGCGGAGATCTGTTATGAAATCAAGAGGTGAAAAATCCCTTCAAATTTCTTGGAAATCACTCAAAACCACAATAAGAGACGTGCAGATAATCTGCATGCCACAAGTTAGGAAAAGGTTATCATTTGGGCGCACGCCTCGGTGACTGGCTAATGCGCTTCACTGTTTACTCGTGGACGCTTTCCTCAAAAGGGGGAACGGGAGGCCAGAAATGCAACCTCAGACTAGAGGAGAAAGAGGGCGGTTGGAGAGGGGCGGAAACTAGGAAGGCCAGAATAAATTGGGGCTCTGCCCGCCCCCTCCAAAGATCCACCAAAAAGCCCACAAGCAAATCTCCTCTCCAGCACCTCCTGCTGCTGACATGCCCCCCCACAGGCAAGAATGAGGAGCTGTTCCACAAAACAGACTTCGCACAGGCAAGTGATTCTCCCTTCCGGGGATGAGCTATGATGTGCAAATTGCCAGTTTTCATTTTTAAAAAGATGCCAGGGCTCCAGCTTTTGCAGAACTGAAAACAGGAAACAGACCGTGCTGTTACGATCCTGCTTACTCATTTCATGAGAAATTGCTGGCTTCCAGCCTTTGGTGTCGTTAGGGCATCACTGACTGTGCTAAACCTTTGTGGGGGGGGGGGAGTCCTCAAGAATCAAGAAATTTCTTTTTTTTTTATTAGTTTTATTTGAAATTATAATCCTAAAAAACAAAACTACAAACAACATCCATCATCAAAAACATTGAGCCCGCTGGGTCAGCCCCCACACCATTCTTATTCCATTTATAAAGAATCAAGAAATTTTTCAGTGCTGGGTTTGGAAGAGATATGACAACCAATGAATACACCAGAAGCAAAGATGGGAATCTTTCCACCCCAGGTCCTGTTAATATTTTTTCCTAGGTTTGCGAACATTTTGAAAATTAATTTGACAATGTGCTCAGATGATGTTTGCAATTATTATACCCACATTGTAGGAGGCAGGGCTGTGGTCGAGAAAGTGTGGGTTACACAAGCCCTGCAAAGTAACCCGGTGTAGTTGCCCCCATTAAGGAGAGAGTGTGTGTGTTAGTGCGGTATTTAATAACTCTGCACTGTTCTTAGTGTTTCTGGGAAAAGCAGGCGGAGCAGATAGACAGGCCTTCTTTGTGGTCGTGCCCCTCTCTCTGGAGTTGGCTCCCCAGAGAGGTTCATCTGGCACCCCCCCTTTCAATCATTTCGGGGCCAAGCATAAACGGTTTTACTCTCCAAACATTTAATAATGAGCTGAACTGTACTGAATTAATTAACTTTATTTTGATTGATTGTGAAGAATGTTTTAGTGATGATTCATCTGCTATCCTGGCTTAGGATAAATCTTATTAAAGTATTATGTAGCAGTTGTAGTTTGTTTTTTAAAAACAAGTTTTTCTCATTATCATTTATGGTATAATTTATACAATATTGCTTTGTTGTTGGATGTACACTGCCCAGGGAATCCTGTTAGGGACTTTTGGGTGCAGTTTTATCAAACAATCAAATAAGTTTGATTTTATTTAAATAAATTTGATTGTCATGGCAGTACAATTGGCTACAGGTTTGAAGGGCTTGTGGTGCCATTCAAATCTTGCTTTAAGAGAACTTGCCCTGTTCAGGTCTTGGGGGAGGCCCATCCCTCTCTTAGCGCCGGCCTTGGAGTTGAGACAGTGCCAAGCACCTCTGCAAAAAGCCACATTTTTCTTGTATCAGAGAATCAAAGGGCCAGCACAGAGCTGACGGGGCTCTGGGAAGAACTGAGTCTTCTCCTGCGAGTGGGAAGGCAGAAGGCACGTCTAAAGGTTGAGAAGCAACAGACAGGTAGATCTTGGATAGATGTTTCCTAGTGGACAGATCTATCGATCTTCGTCGGGGGAACCCTCCATGAAAGAAATTAGGAGAGTAAGTACTCGGAGGAGGGCTTTCTCTGCGGTGGCGCCCAACCTATGGAATTCACTCCCCAAAGAGGTCCGCCTGGCACCGTCGTTACTGGTTTTTCGGCGCCAGGTAAAGACCTTTTTATTTAAACATCATTTTAATTGTTAAAACATATGATCTGGCCAGGGCAACTTCTTCTTCCTTCTCTTTTCTCCTCCTATATTTTTATTTACTTATTTTATACTGATAATTTTAATTTTATATTTGTAATTCAGTGTATTTTTTGTATTTTTGTATTTAATGGTAATTTATTATGTTCTATTGTATTTCAATGTATTTTATTGTGTTGTAAGCCGCCCCGAGGTTTCGGCAAGGGGCAGCATAGAAATGTTATAATAATCATCATCATCATCATCATCATCATCTTGGAAGTCAGGCAGCCCATGACTTGCACTGGTCAGAACTGGTAGACCGGCCCTCTCATGCTAGTGGGGGGTCATTATTACTATTGTTTGTAAATAAGAAAAGAGACAACGAAAAGCATAGAATGACCAAAAAAAGGTGCCAAGGGACCCTGTACAAAAAGAGCTTATAAAACTAGATGCGGGAGGTTCCACAAAAAATCAGCAATAATCATTATGTCATCTAAACTCAGAACTACGATTTTATATAAACAAATAATAATAAAGATTGTTAGATTGGTAAGTAATCAAATCAAATCAAACTAATAATTTTGCATGAAATTGCTTGAACACAGGCAACACATAAGCTATAACCCATCTCTCAGTATATCCACAAACCACGTTTTCTCCCTCTCCCCATTTCCTGTTCCATTCACCACCCATTTCCCCTTCTTCCTCTCTTCCATATTTCAGAGAATTGTTCATGCTAATCTCATCATTGCATACGTTATGCATTGATGATACCCAAAGATTCTATTTTTTCTCTCAGTTATGAATAAAATATGCCAGCAGGGGTTTTGAAAGATGTGCAACCATACATCAAACATGCAGAGCCAAAAGAGCGTTGCTGTCACTCAGTTCAAGCCAGGCAACAGCTGTACTTTGTAACCCCTAAGAAACACTGGTCCAGCCCAAAGGGGTGGAACTAAGAAAAAGTGAAGCTGTAAGAAATTCTGATCAAGAAGAACAGGAGAGTTGAAGAGGCCACTAAGGCCCGTTGATGAGTTGTTCTATCTATCTATCTATCTATCTATCGATTTATATCCTCCCTTTTTCCTGCAAAGGGCTCAAGGCAGCTTACATCTCCTCCTCCATCTTATCCTCACAACAACAACCCTGTGAGGTAGGCTGGGCTGAGAGTCTGTGACTGGCCCAAAGTCACCCAGTTGGCTCCATGGCTGAGCGGGAACTCGAATCCAGATCCTCCGAGTCCCAGTCCCATGCTCTTCACCACTGCACCACACTGGCTCACACTGGCTCAGGTAAAATCCCTACATGTCGGTGCTGTGGTGTGAGTCCACATAATGAATGGATGTATATATATAACTGAATTGGCATTTTATTCCAGGGTTTTGAGGATTCTGCACAGGCAGCCGACTTCTCTGTGCTCAGACAGTGGAAGCGAGCATTTTGGATTCCTTTGAGTTGGAGCCAAAGGGACTTTTGAACTTTGCGATTCTACAGCCAGTTCTATTTGCATTGGTGCTGTTGCCTGGGTGGGACTTGGGTGCACGGGTTGTAGTATTTTGTTTTTATTATAACTGTCCATGTTGTTCTGTTATAAAACTGTTGATAAGAGGTTCATTTTGTATGTTAGGTTGTGTCTGCAATGTTCATTAGCCCACAGAATCTACCAGTGCTACATACTGTTCATTGATGCAAGGGGGTCCATGCCCCCCAGCCCCTGGCCTTGGACTCCAACTCCCATTAGCCCCAGCCAGCATGGCCAATGGTCAGGTTGCAGCCCCAAACATCTGGAGGCGGGCAGAGGAAATCTTTCTGTCATGACTCATGTGCCAATGTCAATATTACACTAAAAGCAGCTATCTCAAAAAACAAACAAGCTTCCGTTATTCGCGTCTTTCCCCCGCTTGCCCCCGAGTTCCGTGTTTTTGTTTTTATTCTTCTACTTCCCCGCTGCAAAGCAACCAAGAGCGCGCACACAGAAAGCGCGCAGGTGTTCTGCAGCGGGGAAAACCAGGCACGTAAGTTCCAACCACAAACGGTAGTTCAACCAGGCGCCCTCCCCCCGAAGGGATCCTGCCATTTCCCCCCGATCTAAACAGAGATAGAATCACAGGCTTCATTCCGTGGCTTGCTCTCGATCCGAGGAGGGCGGGGGTGGGGGAGGAGGAGGGAAGGGGGACTATCCGTGCCAAGCCGCCAATGCCGGCCCGAGTCCAGTGCGCCGATGAGTGGGGGCGTTTCAAGGGTGCGCAAAACGACCGAAAAAAGGAAATCTGCTCGTCTACGTGCTTCTCTGGGACCCTTTGCCTGCCCTCGTATGGCTAGGTGCGGCTACGCAAGATCCGCTGCTCGCCGGATCGCCTTTCACAGCGAAGCCTTCGGCGGAGACCAGCTCCGCCTAAAAGGGCAACTTTTGAAAATGGGGGGGGGGGGTCCTCCGGAATCCAGATAAGCACCGAGCCCTTGGATAGGCACGTTCTCCGCGCCCCCGCCCCAAACACAGGCACTTTCCACCTTCCTCGCTGCGTGGCTGTTTTTCTCGGGGTGCGGGGAGTGTCAGCCCATGGGGATCCCAGCAGCGGGTGTCCCGCGGGGCGAACGCGATCCGGGCGCGGGCTGATCGCGGATTCCGCGAGGGGAGATCTGCCAAGAAAGGGGCGCACAGCCAAGAGACCCCCCGTCCCCCTCGCGAACCGGCTGGCTAGCAAGGTCTGCGCATCCCCGAAGCACTCACCGCAGCATCCCCGCAGCAGGAAGGCCGCCGCCGCCGCCGCCGCCACGAGCAAAACGGGGCCCCGGAGCGGACCGGCGCGCATCTTCCCGGCCTCCGCCGCGCCCGCTCCGGTTTGGGGTCGCGGTCGCTCCCTGCACAGCCGCCGGAGCGGAAGACCCCGAGTCGGGGCTCCGATTGGCCGAGAGCCGAAGCCGCGGCCAATGGGAAGGCGCGTTGCGAGGCGGCGCGTAATTGGCGGTCACTGGCGGTCAGCCCGGGAAAGCGAAAGTGGGCCGCGCGGAGGGGCCTCGGCGGGGGGGGGGCGCTCGGGGCTGGATCCCCGGGGGTCGCGCGGGCCGCCTCTTTCCCTGTGCAGCGCCGCCCCGCGCAGCGCCGGCAGATCCCCTGGGGCCGGGCGGGGCGAGCTCCTCTTGCCCGGGGAGCCGGACTTGGGCTGCGGCGAACAGTCGCATCCAGCGCTGAGCCAAGCGAGCCTCCGGCGGGCGCGCCTCGACCAGGTCAGCAATTGCATGCGCGGCCAGGACTGCAGGGAACCCGCTCGGTGATTCACGGAGCCGCTACGACACAACAGACATGTGCGTGGTGGGAGCCGGCTGGAGCCGGGGGTCAGACTAGATGGCCCGGGAGACCCCTTCTGACTCACTCTGTTTCTGTGTTTCTAAGTAACAGGTGGATCGGAGGCGGGCCCTTTGCGGTTCCGCCAGGAGTCGAGCCAAGGCTTTCAAGCCAGAGCAGGAGGAACCAGTTTCTTAACAAAACAAAGGTTCACCTAGTCCAGCACTCCACACATATGGGGGCAAAGCAGCTGCCCGCAGGATCCCTCCAGCCAGGATGGGTGCAAGAGCTCCTCCTGCCCAGCTCCTCAGCAGGCCATGGCTGGGGAAGGTGGGAGCACGTGGCCAGCAAGGCTAGCAGCCCCAGGTAGCCTCCTCCCTCATGAATCTGACCAGCCTCTCTAAAGATTGGTGGCCTCCCCACTTCCTGTGGGAATGAATTCCATGGTTTAATTCTGTGCTGTGTAAAGAGCTCCTTCCAGGCTGCGGATGGCAAGGGGCGATGCCTTTGGGGCGTCTGCCACAGGAGGCCCAATCCTCAGCAAGCTGCAGCCCAGAGAGCTGGAAGCTTCCCTTCCCTGTTGCCCCTCACCATCATCCACCCCAAGAATCAGTCTCTCGCTACGCAGTGGCTGCTTGGATGCGTAGTGCAGGATGCGGTAGACACTCTCTGATATTCACTGAAATAGACTTACTTCAATCCCATGTAAGAAAACTGCAATAGTTTAATTCAATTTTGTTTCCCCCTTTTTTGGGTGTGTGGGTGGTTTTGGTTTTGGAAAACCATAAAAATAAGTTTTAAAATCTGTGCTGCTTGGAGCCACACAGTTTGAAGATTCACAATGAAAAAAAGTAAAACAAACAGAAGTAAAAGCCAGATCCATTAAATAAAAAGACTTTTGCTATTCCTTATCATTTTTACAAGGGACACTGAGTAAACTCCCATCAAACCACACCACATAGCGGCCTCCATGGGCTAAAAACCGCAGATCCAATCTGCACAGGTACTTCCATGTCACAACAACAGGACTCTGAACTGGACACTAGGATTGGCTGGTTATTTTTGTGGCATCTTCTGTGGAAAAAAAAAAAATAGCCACTGGATCCATGCTCCAAATTGATGGTTTTATTCCGTGGGAGTTGTGTGAAGCACACAAGCAGGACTCTTTGGGATTTATGGCTTTGCATCGTGCACCCTGTAAATGGCCAGATCCAGAATGTAACCGCTTTGTTCTGTGGCCTGAGTTGATTAGATGGTTGATCCAGTGGAGTGAGTATGGGGACAGTTTATTCAATCTGCACAACTCATGAGGAACCACGACTCAAATCCCCCTCCCATCCTTTTTTCCGCCCTGGCTCTGGGGGGTACAGGATCTGTGCCATTGATAGAGAGGTGCTTTGTGACTGATTCGGGGTATACCCCAAGTACAGTCCAAGCGAGGTAGCAGGATCTGTGCCTCGTGTTGGGAAAATTCAGATAAATCCTGGTAGGAAAACGTTGCTTATATGTACCTTTGTGTTATAAAATCAAACCTGCACTCCTCTCTCAGAAAGCACCCCAGTTCTAAGCCAGGTTGCTGTTTAGCACAGGGGTCCTCAAACTTTTTCGATAGGGGGCCAATTAAAAGGTGGCGGCTATGTGCCCGGCCGGTGAGGTGGGGGTGCCTGGGGGCATGGGCCGGTGAGATGCCATTGGGCATGCGCAAGGGGGCATTGGGCACGTGCAGCGGCAGCGGCTCGCTCCCTCAGAGACCATCTCCAAGCAAGCAAGCAAGCGAGCCACCACCTTCCCACCCGCGCAGCAAGCACTCACGCGGGCGGCGAACAGCGGTGTGGGCCGGACGGAGGGCCGTGGCGGTCCGGATCCATCTCATGGGCCGTAGCTTGAGGCCCCGTGGCTCAGCAGTTGCTGCTACTTTTAGCAGTGGGACTTGATAGCTTCCCCAGGAAGCTGCCAAGTTTTGATGATCAGTAAGAACTGATAAGGTTGCCAGGTAACAGCACTGTAATCACCCTTATTTGCATGGAGAGGAGACGCACAAAAATCCTTGGTGATCCTAAGTGTGCCTTAGTGACTGTTAGGTTAATATCCTGCAGTCAAATGCCATCGTACTGAGTACTGAGCCCGCTCTACAGACCTCCCCCCTTCTTCTGACCGTGTTCCCCTTATTTCCATCAACTGCCCAGCTGCTGGGCCCACATGACTCAGAATCTATATCAGAATCTATAAAACACTCTGCAGATATAGGTGTGTTCAGTGACTGATTAGCAGATAAACAGTCAAGTGCTGTGAATTGTGACAGGTCCTAAGGGCAGCTTTTAACATTCCGATGAAGGAGATTACATTGGGACAAAGAGAATCCTTTTGTTTCATGTAACATGAGAGCCTGCAGGAAGCTTGTTTAGCAGAGGAATGTAGAGATTTACTCAACTAGCTGATTTACTTAACTAGCTAGCTAGCGCTGGGTTCCTGAGTGGAGCTTGGAGCAGATCAGCGGCTGTGCCGGCACCTGTTTTGGGCGACGGAGCCGCAGCAGAGGGGTTCAAGAGCCACGTGCGGCTCTGGAGCCACAGGTTGCTGACCCCTGGCCTGGGTGATCTCACCAATAAAAACGCCAGGGTTCAAGGCAGTTCAGTCTTCCCTGTCCGCCCTGTAATTCATTCCTACCATTAGTGAAGAGACTCTGACACTTGCCTTAGTGCTTCACACCAGGATGTGCTGCAGCAGAGCCAAGACGTTTGTGTGCTCACTTGGACACGGACGAGGTCTTTGCTTTGATGTGGTCTTGTGTGTGCGAGGAGAGGGAATCCATGTTGGATCCGTAGTTCTTCCGCTTCAGTCAGTGGAGGCAGGTGTGTTTTGCAAAGGGATGGTGGTTCCAGGGATTTTTCAGGTTAAAAAAGTGCAGATCTGTGCCTTGGATTCATGCAGGCGATGTGCCATGGTGGGGGTCTATGAAGCCTGACTTGGGGGATTTCACACAGAAGAGCCATAAGGATACACACCTCGGATAGTTCTTATTGTTAAGTCATCCCTGCATGTAGCAACCCAAACTGTGGCTTTAAGCTCCGGTTTACGTGGGACACCAGATCTGTGGACAGAAGCAGGTTTCATTGACTAAAAAGAAAAGAGGAGTTGACCAGCTGATGTATTTCCTCCTTGCTTTAGGGTCTGTTTCTGATCAGCATCCAAGTTCTAGCCAGAACTGCTCCTGCAACTCAGCTCTCAGTTTCTCCCTGCAGCTTTGGCCTTCTTTTAACCCACTTCCACAAAAAGCTGGCGAAAAGCTGCCTCAGGAAAAGCAGGTGTGGATCTGAAAGGCCCTTGTTCTGGCTGAGAAAGTTCCAGTCTGCGTAAGGACCGCTTTCAGGTCTCTGCAGGTGCAGGGGAGTTTAAGGAGTCAGGTTTAATCCCTCCTGAGATGTGGACTTTTGTTCCTTGCAAAACAAGGAAATCTGCACGACAATGTGCGGCTTACTGAGTTTTTCTCTGCATAACAACAGTTTGGCCTGCCCCAGAAGACAGGACTTGGAAAAATTAGCTCCTCCCTGTTCACACATCAGGAACTCAGTGGTGCCTGACAGATGGGTCGCCCCTCATCCACTGTCACGTCATGGGTGAGGGATGCCTTCCTCTGGACCAGTCCGGCATCAGGAGGAGGCCCAGACTTGTACCCTCTTGAACTTCAAAGGACTTCTCAATACTGCTACCACCGTGACAATTACTTAGTTTGATATATTTAAGAGCTTCCTTTTCACGAAGCCAATTATGGACTTCCTTTGGCCAGAAAACTTCTCAGATAAGTGCATGTTGATTATATTTATTTATATACATCTGGCACCCAGATTATGGAATGCGCTCCTTGGAGACGTGTGCCTGGTGCCAAGTTTATATTCTTTTTGGTACCAGGTTTTATTTAATTGCTATTTTAAATCTAATATTGTATCATTGACAGTCACTCTTTTTGTTTTCAGTTCTTTGTTTTTATATAATCTTTTATTGAATTTGTTATTTATAAAGATTATTTCATTGTTTTTAATTGTATATATTGTGAGCCGTCCCGAGATGCCAAGGCATGTGGTGACGGCATACAAAAGTTTTAAATAAAATAAACAAATATTTATTTGGGTGTTTTTATGCCCTCCAATACGTTGCAGGTCTGAGCAGCTGAAAACCAGAAGAACCAGAATTACTAACGGCTGAAAACCAGAAGATAATGTTTGCAATTATCTCTGCTACATGTAATCCTGTTTTTAAAGACCCACCTGCAATGTGAAGGCTACACATTCTGGTGTCAATCAGTTCTTTTTCTTCTCTCAGGTCAAGTTTGACTTATTCATAGGTACTTGCAGTAATTTTACAAGCAGTAAAGAAGACATGACTCCCAAAACTGAGCAGCAGCAGCTTGGGGAAAAGCTCAGGTACGGTGTGGAAACTTTTTGGCAGTATTCATCCCAGAAATGAACCACTGAACCCATCTGTACCTTTGGAACCAGCTTGTTCAGCGCGTCATCAAAACCTGATCCAGTTCTTTCCGTAAATGACCAGAGAACCACGAGGCCAAGC